AGTCGTTGCCTACACAGTTTCAGCCGATGTTTCAGTCGCTTTCTGCGCAGTTCCAGCCGCTGTCCCTATATTTTCTAGGTTGATTTCTTCATTGAATCTTGTTTTCTTTGGTATCTTATACATAAATATTTGGTTGTTGCTCCTTCATGATCAATAGTATGGAAAAGTCATCAGGTAATCGCAGTGTAGCGTATTCTGGTAAGTTTTCACTCTCATTTGGATTTCATGTCTCAGAAATACTTTGTTTATTTTAGATATTAGATTTAGGAGCCACAGACCACATGACACCCTCTTCGAAATAATTCTCCACATATTCCCCTTGTCCCAGTAATAAAAAGATTTCTACTGCAGGTAGTCCTCTTGTAACTGTAGCGGGTATTGGAGATATCCAAATAAATCATTCTATAACCCTAAAAAGGGTCCTCCATGTTCCAAAACTATTCATGAACCTTGTCTCCATACAAAAACTTACAAATGATTTATCCTGTAGTGTTACTTTTCATAATGATTGTTGTATATTTCAGGATAAGTAGTCAGGAAAGACGATTGGACGTGCTAGAGAAAAGAATGGCCTTTAGTATCTTGATGAACCAGATCAGTGTACAAAAGGTCACTTGTCTCACTCATTTATTTCAGAGTCAGTGCTATCTAAAAAGGAAAAAATATTTCTTTTTCATTGTCGATTAGATCATCCTTCTTTTGGAGTCATCAAAGTTTTGTTTCCATCTTTATTCAATAAGGTAGATATTGAAAGTCTTCATCGTGATGTGTGCGAGTTTGCTAAACATAAGCGTTCACCTTTTCCATTAAACAACAAAAGAAGTCTTTCCCCCTTCTATCTTATTCATTCAGATGTTTGGGGTCCCTCAGCCAATCTAAATGTAACGGGTGCTAGGTGGTTTGTTACTTTTATAGACGATTGTACCCAGGTTACTTGGGTGTTTTTACTCCAAAACAAGTCTGACGTCAGTACTGTTTTCCCAAAGTTTTTCTACATGATTAAAAATCATTTTGGAGTAAACATCAAAAGGCTTAGGTCTGATAATGGAAAAGAGTACTTCAATCATGTTCTTACTTCTTTCTGTCAAAAAGAGGGAATTGTCCATGAGTCTTCTTGTGTTAAAATACCACAACAAAATAGAATTGCAGAAAGGAAAAATGAGCATCTGTTAGACCAAACCCGAGCACTATTGTTTCATCAAAATGTTCAAAATATTTATGGGGGGAGGTTGTTCTCACTAGTACATATCTTATTAATCGATTACCCTCTAGAGTATTAGGGTTCAAGAGTCCTATGGATGTTCTTTCTTCCTTCTACCCAAATTTGTCAGTAAGTAGTAATCTTAAACCTAGAATCTTTGGGTGTGTCTCATTTGGCCATGTGCATAGTCAAGACAGAAAAAAACTCGACCCTAGGGCCTTAAGATGTGTTTTTGTCGGGTATTCCTCTACTCAAAAGGGATATAAGTGTTTTCATCCTCCATCTAAAAAGTTTTTCATGTCGCGGGATGTTACCTTTCATGAGGAGGAACCATACTTCACTCAACCTTATCTTCAGGGGAAGAATTTTAAGGAAGATAAGCTTGAAAATCTCGATCTTTCTGGTCTTGAGTCAAATACACTCGATCTGTCTAGTATTAAGTCAAATACATCTGGTCATTCTAGTCATGAGTCAAATACACTCAATCTCTCTAGTATCGAGTCAAATCCACCTAATTCTTCCAGTTTTAGAGTCAAATAGACCCAATCTTTCTGGTCATGAGTTAAACACGCTTGTACCAGCCCCATCTGAGGTTAGAGAACTAGGAGTTGAGTCAAATCAATCAAATACACCACTTGCTGAACTTGGACCTGAAGTGGATGTAAGATATGGAAAGAATTTGATTTACATGAGAAAGTCAAAGGCCATTTCTGAATCGACATAAGTTCAAGAGTCTGACTCGACTCCTTCGAATGAGGTAAGTAATTCTTCTGAATTACAAGATAAAATGATGACCCAAACAATAGATGATGACCTAGACCTTCCAATTGCTATTAGAAAAGGTACCAGAAAATGCACCAAACAACCTTCATATCCCCCTTCAAACCATCTTTCTTTTCAAAAATTCTCACCTACCCATAGAGCACTCCTTACAAACCTAAATGCTACTTCGATACCTACTAATGTTTCTGAGGCATTGTTTGATGAAAAATGGAAGCAAGCCATGAATATCGAAATGGACGCATTGAAGAAGAATGGAACTTGGGAGTTAGTGACTTTACCAGAAGGAAAGAGGCCGGTTGGATGCAAATGGGTGTACACAGTCAAATATAGGGCTGGTGGATCAATCGAAAGATATAAAGCCAGGTTGGTTGCCAAAGGGTTTACACAAACCTATGGAATTGACTATTCAGAGACATTTGCTCTGGTTGTGAAGATGAATACAGTGAGAGTAATTTTGTCACTTGCTGCCAATTATGGTTGGGATTTACAACAATTTGATGTGAAGAATGCCTTCTTATATGGGGAACTCGAAGAGGAGATTTATATGCAGGTACCACCGGAGTATGAAAAAAATGTGTCTAACAATACAGTTTGCAGGTTGAAAAAGGCGTTATATGGTCTAAAACAATCACCTCGAGCATGGTTTGGAAGATTCACTTAGGTTATGACATCTTTGGGGTACAAACAAAGTCAAAGGGATCACACCTTGTTCATCAAACACTCACCACAAGGGGGAGTAACAGTTCTGTTAGTATATGTGGATGACATTATAATGACAGGAGATGATTGGAAGGAGCAACAAATCTTGAGTCAGTATTTGGCTAAGGAGTTTGAAATAAAAACTCTTGGAAAGCTGAAGTACTTCTTGGGAATCGAGGTGGCACATTCCCGAAAAGGAATTTTTATATCTCAACAAAAATACATTAAAGATTTACTCAAAGATACAGGAAAAATAGTGTGTAAACCTGCGAGCGTTCCTATGGATCCAAATCTTAAACTGAGTAATACAGAAGATGTTGCAGTAGATAAAGAAATGTATCAACGTCTAGTTGGGAGATTAATTTACTTGTCTCACACTAGACCCGATATTACATATGTTGTAAGTATGGTTAATCGGTTCATGCATTGTCTTAAAGAAAACCATTTACAAGCAGTTCATAGAATCCTACAGTATCTTAAGGGAACTCTAGGAAGAGGAATTTTGTTCAAAAGAAATGGAAATACAACCCTTGAGGCCTACGCTGATGAAAATTATGCAGGTTCAATTGTTGATAGAAGATTCACTACAGGGTACTGCACCTTTCTTGGAGGAAATCTTGTGACTTGGAGGAGTAAGAAGCAAAATATAGTAGCCCGTTCTAGTGCAAAAGCTGAGTTTCAAGCTATGGCACAAGGCATTTGTGAATTACTTTGGCTCAAAATTATTTTAGAAGATTTGAAAATCAAATGGGAAGGACCCATGAAGCTCTACTGTGATAATAAGTCAGCTATCAGTATAGCACATAATCCAATTCAACATGATCGAACTAAGCATATTGAGGTTGATAGACACTTCATTAAGGAGAAGCTTGATAGTGGGCTGATTTGCACCCCATATGTGTCTTCACAAGGGCAACTTGCAGATATTCTCAATAAAGGATTGAGTAGCACTAATTTTGAACAAATTGTATCCAAGCTGGGAATGGAAAATACTTGTTCACCAGCTTGAGGGGGAGTGTTGGAAATAGAAAAATAAATTGTATGTTTTCCACTAAAATGAGCATTTAATTCTTAGGTTCATGTATATTTAGATTCATGCATTTAGGGAGTTGGACTATTATTTATTTCTCCTTGTAAACAAAATATAATTATATAGTGTATAAATATCAAGGTTGTTGAGTGTTTTCCTCACTCAAGCACATTCAAAAAAAAATTTATTTCTATTTTTCACAATATGTAGTGACGTTGGCCATCATGTCGTCACGTAACCCAAAGGTGCATTTATCTTATTGTTTATGTAGATAAGTAGATGATATTGTCATAAGTGGTGATCTATAGAGAATACTCCAGTTGAAGATCTTCTAATCAATTTCAAACTAGAAACCTTGGTAAACTAATCCGACCAGTGATCCAGTGCCTTGATCGGATGGCTCACCATTCTGAGTTTTAAAACACTAATACTATAACATTAGTAACATGTGAGTTCATTTGATTGAAACATCTACTCAAAGAACTTCAATTTGGAGAAGATAAACCAATTACATTAATTTGTGATAATCAAGTTGCATTGCAAAATGCCTGAAATCCATTTTTTCATGAGAAAGCCAAGCATATTGAGATAGACTGACATTTTGTTAGAGAAAATATCAAATCGAGAGACATCACCACAAGCTTTGCTAATTCAAATAATCAATTGGTAGATGTTTTTACAAATCAATGTGAAATCCTAGAATCAGTTATATATGTAGCAAGCTTGGTGTTTTTGATCTATAAGCTCCAACTTGAGGGAGAGTATTAATATTTAAATTAAATAATATATTCTATAAATGTTTTAGCATACTCACTAGCGTATTCTGTTGTAATTAATGTCGTCAATTGTATATTCATTTGTTTTTAGCCCATATAATAGAATCTCCGTGATGTAGTTTAAACTAAGGGTTTTGCGATGTCTCTCTTTTTCTCTCATCCAACACCCTACAATTTTAATGTGTATCATCTGAAATATAATAGAAATTCTTAGAATTTGTGTTCAACCTAGCTTAACCCTTACAATATTGACTTATAAGGTGAGGATTGCCTCCACATATAAACTTATATCCAAGTCTTATCTCATCCAATGAGGCACTCATAACGGAAACGACATGAAATACAATGTAATGCAACATACTGATTTTGCTCCTAACTTAAGAGACATTATGAAAATGGAATGAAAAACATGAGACAATAAAAAGAGAGAATAACAACATGAAATGTTTTGTTCAAAAAAAAAACCAACATGAAATGTTTTTGATACAGAAAGTAAAAATTCCAGAAGTACCTCATATGAGATGGGGTTGTGACCACCCGAATAATATACATCCTCTAACTCCCCAAATGGAGGAGGAGGAAGGGAATTTGGAATCTTTCCAAAGTAAAGGTATGTGCTTCCCTCACTCCTCTCAAACAACTCTGGATGGTTGCAAACCTGACAAATCGAAAGAGCAACATTTACTATGGGTAATCATTGTTGGATAACAATCTTTATTTCAACTGGAACCAATTAATACAAAATTTATACCACTAAAACTAAAAACGGAGAAAATAAGGGGTGAAAAATATGGATAACAATGTCCACCTTTCTCAGTTGAATAACAATGTTCATTAAATTCAAGATTTTCTTCTCATTGAGCTGTCCACGATTACTATCAAACAGTTCAGCAAGAGATATCTTGTTCTTAATTGCTTGATAGAAAGCTTGTTGCCGGGAACTTAACTTGCAGTGCACGGTAACTTCAGTTTTGCTAGTCAGCTCAGAAACTACATCTTTTTTAACACGCCGAAGCATGAAAGGCTTTATAATTGAATGCTGTTAAGAGAAAAGCAACTGAATATATGTAAAAAATTTAAAAATACAATTCTAACAAAATGATATAAAGAAATTTTGAAGGAATAATAAAAATGAAAGTCGCCATTTCAGACATCCTATTGTAAATCCAATTGCTGTATCTTTATTTAACACAAACCCATGTGCTTGTTTATAAATTGTGCATATGTTAGACATTTGTAAATATATATTGGACATTTCTTAGACATTTGTATATATATTGGACATTTGTAAATATATACATTTGGGCATTTTCTCTATTTCCATATTTTCTTGTAATAAGATACTACTATACTAGTCTATCACCTCTCATTCCACAATGTAGGTTTCGTATGCCCTTACAATTTCTGATTAAAAAATCAATATAATGCAATAATACATCCTTACCATTTATTTATTATTACTATCAAACAGGAAATACACTTACCAATCGATTAAGTTGGTGCTCATTTAAAGTACCCCCGTGTTCTGCATGGTTCTCAATTCTATAGTGTCATAAATAATAACAGATGGTCAGACTGTAGTAAAATTAGCAAAACTATCCAAGGACAATAATTAGGAATACATACCCTTTTGAAAACCACTCATTAAACTGCTCATGGCTGTCAAATAAAGTTGGCATAATGAAGTGAAGAAGAGCCCATAACTCGGCCATATTATTCTGAACAGGTGTACCGGTCAGCAGTAGGCGATTCCGACAGTTAAAGCTGAGGAGTGTCTTCCATCTTATACTGTTGGATAAATTATGATTTTTAAAAGGGTGACAATGATAAAAACAGATGTTTAGGTAACTTTAAATATTTCATCAACCACACAGTTAATAAAATATATACAAAATTACACAGCTAAATACTAAAAAAATACACCATATAAAATAACTAATAACAGTTTTGTTTAAATATCCAGTAGGGACAAGGAGCAACTAATAATTAATAACGTTCACTTATGGACCCCAGAAAAAGATATTACTGCAAACCTGTTGGAACTTTTAATTGCCTGAGCTTCGTCTAAAACCATATACTGCCATTTCACGCGCCGGAAATACTTCTCATCAGAGACTAACAGCTGGTAGCTTGTGATGAGAATGTGAAATTTAGCTTCCCTGGTAAATAAGGTACAATAACAATAGAAATTAGAGGGTTCAAAATTAAAGACCAAAAGATATACAAATAGAACTTATTAATGGTGGGTAAAGCACAAAATATTGTATTAGCCTCACAATTCCAAAGATTTTAGCCAAAGATGATGCTACTATACAAATGAACAAAGCATTGATATACTTTTCATCTCATTACTTTGGGTTTCATTTTCATCCCATAATAATATTCTGTTTTCTTTGTTAAAATGTTCCAAAGTTTAGTTTGACTAAATTCATCCTACATATTAATACCCTAAAAATGCTTAGAGTTTAATTACATGGCAGCTTACGTGAATGAATACAAGTGTGCCATGGTATTAGATAGATTTGTAAGGAGAAAATATGTTTTTGGTCCCTAAACACTCAATATAAAAATGTACTGTATTCATTTTTAGTCTCTGTAAAATATAAAATTGTGTGTTTTTATCAAGACAAATAATTAAGAAATTTTTATAGAGACTAATGTTGAACGATCATAATTTCATAGAAACCGACAACATATTTAACTAAATTTTCTAAGCTGGTGAATAAAACCCAAAGAAGCCAAACTCCCAACAAATAAAACAAGACTAATTAAATTTGCTTACATTGTTAAATCTTTTTCTAAGTTACCAAATCCATCCTCATTACCAATTTCAAGAAAATCCTAGTTGGAGGTAGTACACTACTAACTGTTTACTTATATCCAGTATAATGCAGCCATGCCGACAAACTGTATTAGTGCATTTCTGACGGTGTTAGTGTTTGGGTCATTATTGGGGGTTCTAGAGTGGAAAACCACATCATGAGGTCCCCCATAAACCAAGCCCTTTTAGCAATTAAAATGTTCTTTTTTAGTCCTTTTATTTGATTTTAATTACAAGCTCCCCAAAACCATGCAGCCTCTCTCTTCTCTCTCTATTCAGAGCCTCTCCCAACTTTTCCCCTTCTCTCTTTGCCTGTCGCACCACCACAGCAGGGGATTGGATGCCAGCAAGTCTCTGTATATCTCACTCTCTCTGAAATCTGAAAAGGCGGTAGTGGCACAAAACCAATTTTTCTCAAGTTAAACTTGCTAAATCTACCACCTTTACTGATTAGTCCATTTGATGTTTTTAGTGAAAATCAAAAGTCAAGCCATTAAACTATCATCATCATCAGCTTTAATTCATAAATCAGGTTTAAAAGGAGATCCTTATTTTGACACTTTTTCAACAACAAATATAAAAGCGGCGGGAGAGAATGCATTCTACAATCCAAGCATCCAAATTGATGTAGGAAGGTTAGTTGCGTGTAACGAAGAAGATATCGCGCGTCGAAAAGCATTTTATTATTTAAGCAATTTTCTATTTTAAAATATTTAAGCAATTTCTATTTTATTTGCTTATTTAATTCTGTTTTGGATTAAAGACACATAAGCCCATTAGGCTTATTTTGTTTTATGTATTTAAAGACCTTTAGCGTGGCCATAAGGATTATCTTTTATTATAATCAAAGCAGAGTTCTTTTCTCTTTCTGGTGGATTCCAGAGCTTATCTGACAGGTTTTGCGATTGCAACCCTAAGTTTTTATTCTAGGTTTAGCGCTTGCTATTCCCTAGGACTTCCGACTACGTCACAAATTATATGTGCTGAAATATCTTTATAGGGTTAGCAACATTTTATTTATTACAAGAAAAACCCATTGTTCTCAAAGATCTACCCTAAGCATAAGGCCGTTACTGCCACCTGTGTATCAAGGTAATGAAAATGCACAAGAAAATAATATTACCTGCGGTAAAGATCCTTTGGGTTCATACTTTTCCTAAGCACTGTCCGCTCTGAAAGCCCACCCCAATAAGGAAGTACTTTCAGTTCGGGGCAGAAGCGCTCGAGTTCCTCATTCCAATTATTCAATACAGAAGCAGGTGCAACAACCAAAAAAGGTCCCCATATGTTTTTCTCCTGCATGGGACAAGCAAGTTACGATAAACTGAATAAAGTCACTGAAATGGAAAGAAGAAAAAAAGGCTGAATGAAAAGCTACCTCAGCTAAATGAGCTAAAAAAACCATAGCCTGAATGGTCTTTCCAAGTCCCATCTCATCAGCAAGAATACCATTTAAACCCTGAAAGAGACCAAATGCCTTCTAATTAGCAAACAAAAGAAATAAATCACTGAGACTTTAAGTAAGAGTGCTCAACAACCTGCTCGTAACAATTAACTAGCCACTGAAGACCTTTTAGCTGATAATCTTTGAGACAGCCATTAAATAATTCAGGTGTCCGAACTGTCGATGCCACGGGCATGGTGGAGCTGCAATACAACAATGCAAAAATTGATTAGAAGGAACACTGCAAAAATTTATTAGAAGGAACACTGTTGATTATTGCAAATTCTTCGATACCATCTAATTGACCATCAACATAAATTTACATGAGTACACTCATATGTGTCTAGGTAATGTAGTATCCGAGGATAATATGCATTCGCATATAAACAAATAAAGAAAGAGAGGCAGCTCACGGGGTTTTCAAGTCAATATTACTTGCTCCAGAAACTTCTGGTTGAAGTGAATCAGATTCACCAGCCTGGCGCAGCCTCAAGTATTCACTGTCAAAAGCATTTGTTAACATTTTCTGCTTAGAAACTGCTTCTTGAGCAGCTTTCAAAGCTTCCCTCCTCAATTCAGCCTCTTCGGGATCTTCCTCCTCGTTACGACCAGCAGCTGAAGAGTTGATCAGTGCATTTTCATCATTTGTATTTTCATCTGCCATGGATAGAGCTTCTGAAGATATTGACTTGTTCTGCATAAAGTGACTGTATAGCTCAGTCTGTTGTATTAGAAAATTTAGCCTTTGCTGCTGCCTCTTGGCTTCTCGAATCTCCTGCTCGCGCCTCAAAGCTTCAGCAGCTTCTTTTTCCTCCCTTTTCCTTACTTCTAACTGCAAGGGATGAAATTAAAAAATTACAGCATATTCAAGTCTAATGTATACTATGAGTGACTATTACATCAGCATGACCATATTCACGTATCAAAAAGTAATTTCAAATAAAGATGATATCATCTGCATATTTACCAAATAGACCACCCAAACAGAACCAACAATGTGGTGTATCTGAATCTCAAACATCTAAACTGAACAGCTCAAACCCCCATAATTTAATATTTTCATTTCAGAAGTGCATATACCGCCCAATACTCAGATCAATCACGACTCACTACATTTAAAAAACTGAGGCACCGTACAAGACTATAATCCATTAGATAATCACATGGACAAGGCACATAACCGAGTAGAGAAAACCTATTATAATCTTTCATGCACAAAAGATGTTTTTGAGAGTAAAGGTGGGGCTTAAGAGAGAGTATGCAGTCATCATGTTCCCCTACAATGTCCTCCGAGGCAGAGTATAATAATTTGCACCATAAAATCAATTAACTTAAGCAACAAATTAAAAAATACCATCTCCTTATCTATTCGTTTCCAGAATAGTAACATGTCTCTAGCTAGTTTTCGGGAGCGCATGCTAGCAGTTCTTGTCCATTTAAGCGATCTACTAACTTTCATTTTAACCTGAAAGAAAATAGATTCAAAAAACTTATTAAAGTGCAAACGAAAAATGCAGAACATACCATTAGTAGCTTTAAACTAGACAGCTATATTAATATTAATATTAAATTAAATATACTACAAATTAACGTTAAATATACAGAGGAACAATCTATTGAAGTGGGAGACAGGGCATACCTCTCTTTGACAGTTATCTGCAGCCCTCTTAGCATCAACGAGCTGCTTTCGATGAAAAGTGGTAAAATTCCTATGATGCCTTGGTAGGTCTCTTCTAACAATATTTACCCAAATCTTTCCAAACTTATCCATTTCCTCTTTCTCTATTAACTCAGGGTCTTTCTTTACCTTTTGTTTCTTGGGTAAGCTTCTTTCAATGATCTGAAGCAGTTGAAAGACAAAGCAATATGTACGCAAAAAAAAGAAGTGTGGTAAATATAAAAGGAAAATTCTCTAACATATTATCTGATAGGTACCTCATAAGTGTCTCCTTTCTCCAAAACCTTCACATAATAAACCTGCAATATACCCCCCTCAGATAAAATAGACCGCTTTATGCTTCCAGCTGCCCCCTCTGGAATGGAGGAATTCAAATCAGCATCAGATAGTTTCAGACTGAATTTGTGAGCTGAATTAGAAACTGGTGTGTCCTTTAGACGTGCTTGAAGTGATTCATATTGGGATACAGTTTCCCCCATGCCGGCTCGGTTTCTATTCCCAAACTTTTTATCAGATGCCATCATTTCAGCCAAGGAGCCCAAATCCAATGTACCCTTAAGGTAGAAGTCCTCAACGTGGATATCTGAGAAGCTTGGAAGGTTCACCATTGCTGCCAACTTATCATAAATTGGAGGAATCTTATAAGTCACACCGTCCCCAATATTCACAGAAGAAGGTTCATACATAACCCTGCAAAGAGTTTGGAAAAGGTAAGGACATTTGCAACTTAAACAAAGACTTACAAAATGAACAGGGAAGAAAAAACAAACCTATCAGAGCTATGTTGCCGTACGAAATCCGTATCAAGAAGGTTCCCTGGTTTCTGAACATTAGAACCATTCATCCATTCAGACATAGTCTCTTCATCAAGCAATCCTCGCCTACGCTCACTCCCCATCTTATGAGCTTTTAATCCATTGTTAGCTTTTGCAAACGGAACAGCAACCTGCTTCGTGTCCGGACTAGCCGTGGTACCCTTAAACCTTCTCTGGTATTTCTTAATATGGTCTCCAAGCATTGATCGGTATCGTTCTTCCATCGTATGTGCCCCGTGAAAACCACTTTTTTCCTCGTTGTCACTGTTTCCAGACCGACTCCTCTTATTCAACACATTCCCATTACTATGACTTGCAACTGCCCCACCTACACATGGATGCATCCCAAAGACACAGCATACTCATATAAGTCAAACCTCTTATAATTAACAATCACCAACCACCAAAACAGCAAGTTCTTACAACAGAACCGTCACTCGCGGCTAAAAAAAAATCCAATTAGATTAAACAAACACTCTAATCTAAAAACCTAAAAGACATGTAAAAATTGAACAACAACAACAACAACCCCCAAACAAACAAACAAAAAAAGTGCCTACCTCGGCTGTTTCTGCTCTCATCCTGACTACTATTCCCATAATACTCAAAATCATCATCTTGTTCTGGAAGTTCAAAGTTGATCAAAGACTACAAAACAATGCAATCAGAACCAGAAGGAAAAAAAAAACTACAAATTCGTTTAATTCACTATCAAAACCAAGTCTACTATTTCAATTCAGACACTAACCGTGAGAGAGAGAGAGAGAGAGAGAGAGAGAGAGAGAGAGAGAGAGAGAGAGAGAAGCGGAAAAAAAACACAAAAAAATGAATTTCCACAACAAGAAGAAACACGCGGAGAAGATAAACGGAGACGAACCTGGAGATTGAAGAGAGTGGAGTAAGAGAACGAATCGTTAGGTTTCGTTCTGTGATCCATGTGGTGAAAAGCGACTACAATGTGAATGGGGGAACCCTAATATTGAGACGAAGCATGGAAGAAACGTTAACCCTAGAAAAGGGATGCGTAGGATAAGGTGAGGAAAGAAAGGAGGTTCGGGAGAACCATGGTGGTGACTGCAGGGAAGCATTACCGTGCACTAACGTGCACTGGATGAGTAAAAGTTGGGCTAACGTGCGCGGAGAGGTGTGTTTTGATTTTGACGGATGGATGAAGTGCACGTTTGTGTAATCTATGGTGAATAATAAAGGTGTAGTTATTTGATAACTTTTTATGTTTTAAATTGTATGGAGCAGTTAATTTAGTTGAAGAAATTAATAAAAATTTATAAATTTATAAATAAATTTAATTCTACAGATCAAATATTTTTAATTAATTTAGTTTTAAATATGAAATCTATAATATAAGAAAACTCATTTCACTGTAAAAGCATATTTTGTCCTTTTGTTTCAAAAACACAACATGTAGATACTTTCTTTGGTCTTTATTTCATTTTTTTCATAAATCTCCTAATTGTTTTCTCAAATCTCAAACACGTGTTCTCCAATTCTCAAATGTGGGAGCTCTCAAACTTCCCCTGTTCATCATCAGTTTCGTAACCGCTTTCTATTTCATATTCCATTTTCAAAAACCACCCCTCTCACTACTTTACGATCTATATTTAGGGTTTTCGCTTCACTTTTCTTACGCATTTAGGGTTTCTTTTTTCCTCCAATTTAATATTCATCCACCACGAAACCTGTTGATAACCTGTGAGTTTCTTCACTCGGTTGCGTCGATTCAGTTTTGCAATTTGAATCTATTCGTTTTACGTTCTTCCGATCTAATGTTTTCGATCTCATGTTCGTTTTTGTTTGTTAGGTTGAAGCGCAAGGGCGCTGGTGCTGGAACTAAGCAATTGAAGAGAGTTACGAAGGATCCTAACAAGCCTAAGAAACCTCCAAGTGCTTTCCTCGTTTTCATGTATGTTTTCGTGCTGAAAATTGTTCGATCTACTTTGTTTTTGTTTATATCGGTTTAGATTCGAGTTTTCAAGGTGAATCGGTTTCTGATTTATATTCTCATGATTTTTCTATCGTTTTAGGTCTGAATTCAGAGAGACTTTCAAGAAGGAGAATATAGTGAGTCTTGTGACGTTAAGTTACCGTTTTGTGATTGATTTCCTCCTGACTTTGATTTTCTATGATAGTGTTCTAAATTAAATTATTTGGTTCATGTTTAATGGTCACAATTAAAATGTGCAGAATTAACATTCTTTTCAGCTTACGTCGAAGCTCGTACGGGTGAAGGGTGGCATTCATAATTCGGCCAAACACACTTCGATTTTTACTCTCCTCCTGATTTTCGTGTACATGTAATTATACTTTTGGTCATGTTTAGAAAGACTTAACTTCAACAATGGTGGTTTGAGTGATGTTTATGTTTGGATAGTTTAACTTTGTTTTGTGTCGGCACATGATTTAGGAAGTTTTGGACATGGTGATGGGTTTAGTGTTGCTGGTAAAAGAAAGACTGATTAGACTAAAGTTACTTCTCAATCACATTCTAATTTCGTCGGTTCATAAGAAGAACATGACTAAGGTTATGGTAAGTTAACAATATTTATACTTGTATTCCATTTCCATTATGTTTATTGATTATGAATATGAATTTCTCTTAATCAATATATAAATGTAGTGCATGTTAAAGAGCTCTTGAAATAATATGACAATGTATGTGTAATACGGTGGGTGAACTGACTTGGGATGTTTTGTGTTTATCGCAATTGTTGCGGTTAGCAAGAGTCATCACCGACTTTTCTTTTATCCAAAAGGAAAGATGGAAAAGAACAGGAAAGACCTTTGAGATTATTTCTTGAGTTCGGGGGGGTAGATTATAAAAAGGGAAGGTGTTAGCACCCTTTTCATCCATAGTTATCTATGGGCTCTTAGTTGCTTTCTAGATCACTTGCTTTTGTTTAAAAATGTGCGTTGTTTGGAAAATGTGCATTGTGGTGATTTTGAAAGTATTTTGAAAAGACATTTCGTTTAGGCAAACTTTGTAATGGTTCTCGTTTGTAAGAATGTATACAAAGTGTTGGACTTTTTGAAAATATTTCATGTTTGGAAAATGTTTTGAAAGTGTTTGTTTTGCAAGTGTTTGGTGTTTGTTTTGAAAATAAGCAAGGATGTTTGTTTTGAAAGTGAGCAAGCAACTAGGAATAATCTACCTACTCAAAATTCTTTGTTCATTTCTTCCTTTCCTTTGATATTGATATCTTACCATTGATTTGGTAAGAAGCCTTATCTTTGGATATAAAGGGACGAGTGTGGGTCATTATATAGTCGTGATAGCAATGTTGTGAGATATCTTAGCATTTCTTTTTTAGGGACTAAGATCATTTTGAAAGGCAACATTTGTAGCGTCATCGATGGACTATGATCTTGTATTTTTTATTTGTTTTTGCTAAGACATCCCACATGTATAACATGACCATTTTTATAAGGTAACAAGTGGAATTACCCTAAGGGTGTAAGTGTGCAATTGTGTTTGATTTACATGCATTGTTTATCTTGAATTAGGGTTTACTAATCGTTGATTTTAGTCTTGCCATACAAACCCTAATTACTAACATTTATATGAAAGCGATAAATTGTGAAAAGTAAAATTACTACGCTATTACATCATTAGGGGAGGGGGTATACAAATTTACAAATGGGGATTGCAAGAAAATTAAACCTAATTATCTATTACAGCCATATTGAATAATGTATAAGAATTGAAAATATAATGTACAAGAAGATAAAAGGAAAATAAATGATTTTTGTTTGTATTTTGTGAAAGGGTTTAGTTTTGACCTAATTAAGAAAATGATTAAATAAAATTAAATAAAATTAAATAAAATTAAACCTAAACTAATTTTAAAAAATTAAGTTTGAAGCATTTTTAGGGTTTTTTATGAAAAGGTTTAAACTTAATGAAAATAAATATGGTAATTAATTAATTTAAAGAAACTTAAGTTCTAAATTGAATTTAAAATAAATAAAAAAAGGAAAAATAATTAAACCTAAATCTAATTATTAATTTATTAAGAAAAAAAGAAATTAATTTGTTAAGAAAATGTTTTTTGTCTTTTTTTAGTTTTATAAAGAGAATAAAAATATAAGTGTGAAAATAATAAATAAAAATATTTTTGGATTTTTTATTATTATTAATAATAATAATAATAGTAATAAAAATATAATAAGGAAAAATGAAATAAAATAAAATAACAAAGAAAATGAAATGATAAAAAATAATTGGGTCAGGTGTGCAAAAGTAATAGAGGGGTCAGAAGTTAGCAAAAAGACAAGGCCTACTGCTAGGAGGCCCATGCGCGCCTGTTTGTGACAAAAAAAAGAGAAAAATGTGAAAAATATGAAAAGTGGCAGCGTTGGGGCTTGAACCCACGCCCTGAGCATGAAACGCACGCTGCCTTACCACTGAGGTGGTTATACATCTGTTAACATAAGTGAAACAATAAATACATAACACAAGTCAAGTCCTGAAAATGACTTCATCTTCAACCTCCAGCCATGGTTCCTGTAACTTTCTCATTTCTCAATAAAAATGAAAGATGCAAACATGAAAGTTGCTCCATTTTTCCATACGAATCCAACCATGTAAATACCATAAGCTATAAATCAAAGATGAATGAGAATTTCTAAAAGTACCAAATTCTGACCTAACTTTTTTCAGAGATTCAAACCTAAAATTCTCTAAGCTCAATCAATATAAATGAAATCTATGGACATGTACAGTTTCAAGGCAATGATGTCTACATTTTATCTTCACATGTGCAAGCTTAACAATACCTAAATGAAAAGATACAAGTTTAGCAAAGATACCTCAAAACTGGAAATCGTGAAATGTAAATGAGCTTGATTCAAGGTGTTGCAATGATCAGGTTAGCTTCCACAAGTTCCCAGGAAGCAAATGCAATGATTAGCTTGAGCAATGGGTGGCTGAAATGGCCTGGAGAAGTCAACTTGCAGAGCTCCATTTTTGGTTATGGAGGTTGATGAAGATGGAGTTACAACTATGAAACAAGGACATGGATGGACTATATTTGATGTGTGGGAGCTTTGTGATTGATTAGGAAGGAAAACACACGAGGGAATTGTGAGTTACAAGTTCAAAGTCAGAATGTGCACATAAATGGAGTTTTGATGTAAGTTCTGATTTGAGGGAGTTTGGGAGAGTTTCAGGGTGCTTAAGCTCGTGTCTTGGCTCACAAATAGTGCCTCTATTTATAAGCAACAAGTTTTGAGACTTGTATTTAATCAGAATTCAAAATCACGTGTTTAAGCTCAACATGTGATTTTCTTGAGAAATCAAGTTTCAATGTCTTTTGTACTTGCTATTGTAGAGTGGTTATGCTTTAAACAAACTTACTTTTCACTTTTTAGATGGAGTGTGATCAGAGGGAACAGGTGAGAGGCTCAAGAATTGATTTTGTGCATAAAGCTTGCTTTTTAAAAATGGCATTGTTAACTTTCTTCCCAAAATGGTAAATTAAATTGGACAATGCTTAAACCACTTGGGTTATAGCTCAAAAGTTTGTGTAATCCATTAATGATGGATAGATACACAAGTTAGAAGGACTACAAAGCAAGATTATGCAGCCTAACATTGAGATTGGATTATGTGTTCATCAAGAAATGGCTTGTAATTCAAGTTTGAAACCCTAACTTCTTGCCTTCAATTCTCTTAGCTCAAGTATGATCTTAATGAGTTCTTGAACATTTTAGAAAGCTTGTAACATCCTCTACAACCTCTATGTTGGACAATTTTAAAGATTCATCTTGGAACTATGTAAAAATTGTCATGAAGTTAGGTTAAAATCCTGTTTAAACTAGGGCAAAATTTCACTAAGTTTTCAAGTTTCAGGAGCATATCTTCACAAAATCATAACTTGAAATCCAAGCATTTCTAGAAAAAGTTCTGCCCTAAAATTTTTT